GGGGGGCTGAGAGTCATGGCAACTGATCCCATCTGACAACACGACAAACAAACATCGATGGCAATCAGTCACCAAGACAAGGTTCCAATCCCTTTTGCTTCCAGTCGTTCGTCGTTTCACCGACTGTGAAATTTCCCCTGGGGGACTGCGGTATGCTCGCGGTGAGATATGACGAAAAATAATTGAATATTGTTTTTAAAAGAAAGAGATTTCTCCATATTTAAACTTGGGCCAGGAAAATAGTGGATCCGAAACCCTGTCCCCCGCTGATTTTCCAGAATCCTGTTTGCTGAGTTCCAATTCGGACGATAATTAGCGAATATAGAAACGGTTTTGCAACTCTATCATTGACTGAATTGCGAACTGCACTGCCCTCGCCCTTATACACTGATTGTCCGATACTGGCCGGTCGGTCGATTACCACCACACACAAACGCGCATGTCACGCTAAATTCGCAGATTGATACATACGTTGACCGATTGATAGTCCCGGTTGGTTGCATCCCGATTGCGTGTAATACTTATGCCTACTGTTAGCTCTACGCATACCTTGCTCACGGTCGTATCCACGCTCGCGAGTTGAAGGTTCTCTCTTTTCAAATAAGAAGACTGCACCACTTCTGTTCCGATATGTCGGTGATAGACGCTCTCGTTCAACAATGTGTATGCCCTATACCGCCTTCCCCGGTTTGCTGAAGACTGATTTCAAGTTACTGAGACGTGATCTCTTAATAATCAACCGTGCTTTGTTCTGATTGGTAATATGTGTAATGGCCTTATTGATGCGTGCTTGGAGTTTGCTGACAATATCGTATATGATTGCACCCATCCTCTGCACATTGACCTGTGTGCATGCAAATCCCACCGCTCCACCCGTTTTAAGCATTTTGGATGATGCACTTTATTTACAAATCTTTAGATGATTCTCAAAGGTCCGCTCTTTGTGTTCTCCTTGATAATTCTTCCGCTTTCGATTCCGTTCCACGATCTATTCTTCTGCAAAAGTTACAGTCGTTTGGTTGCCCCACCAATTTATTATCATGGTTGAAAGATTATTTCACAAGAAGGATTCAACGAACGAAAGCAAACGGCACTATTTCAACGCCGGTAGTGAATGATTCTGGTGTTCTTTATGGTGCTGTGTTCTCTCCCTTCTCATTTTCAACTTTCATCCGTGACTTACCCTGAATCGCACCAGCCAAGACCTTTAAGTATGCAGATGATGCTGTCTTATATCAAGCTATTTCAAACCAATCGGACATAGACTCATTTACCGACAGTTTGCCATAAGTGCAATCATTCTCGAAACAATCTGATCTCCGGTTGAATACTTCTAAACGCTTTGAATGCATCTTTAGTCCTTCTCGATCCGATTATTCCTTGGAACCCTCAGTCATCAATTCCGTACTCGTCACTGGAACACATACCACCAAATACCTGGGAGTCACCATAGATAGCAATCTACGGTTGTGTTGGTAGACTGCGTCGCTTATCTTTTCAAATACGCAAGCTACAACAATTTCGCATCAGGCATGAGACTTTGTGTTCCTTTGCTTATCAATGCAATTTTCATGTTCGCCTGTTGTTTCACCTGGACTACTTACAGTTTGGTAATTATCAGCCGTGTTTCTATTATTCCTTTGCACACTCTGATCGCAAAATTGTCTAATTCGTGTATCACTTCATGTGAGAATTTCGCTCAAAAGCTGCTCAATCCCGATTTATCTGCTTGCCGTTCCCATGCTTCAACCCGATCCCATTTCGCTGTTTACCCTGCCGCATAAACATTTATTGCAACTCAACGATTCCCTATCTGGCTCGTATTGTCACTGACACAGCGAGGATCCGTAATGAATTAATCTTAAATCTACAAAGATGAACATTTATTTAGTTTTATCATTGTTGTATACGAATTTTCATTTCATATTTTTTATCCCATTGTAACGGTGAACACATTTTTGACTGAACTGTAGCCACAGTTGCCTGCATACGTCACCTATAATACAATAACAATACAATACAACTTATCCCGTCTCGCATATCTGCACACAGAACCTCTTTGGTCCTGCATCTTGCTCGGATGCTGACCGACAACGAATGTGTTCGTTCTGAGCTTTCTAATGCCCTATTAATTAACTCATATTTTTATACGTTTCATATCCCACTTTTTCACCTTTTATTTTGCCAGAATTGTAACAGTGGTCTGTATATTGGCTGAAACCTTGGATATAAAAAAACTTGAATACAATGCAATACAAAACAATAAAATATATACTCGTGTTTATTGTGGTGTGATGGTTTACGCGGACTAACCTGTTTTCAGTGTTATCCGACAATTACGTGCACAATACACAGGAATATATATATATATATTTATCTATATAAATTCGTCATAATAACCTTGTTTGCAACATCGGGTGACTTTTGAATAGACAGCTGTTTCAGAGCCAGTCATTCACATACCACTTATTATTAAATATTCTATAAAGACGGTCATGTCACGTTGCTTGTGGTTAGTAGTATCTAACCCTACCTACAAAACATCGAATCATAACATTGATTCTTCATTCCATTTCTCCTGTTCGCCGAGCTTGGCAATTTGTTTGCAAACGTTTCATCACCAGCCGAGGTGACATCATCAGTGCTTCNGAAGCACTGATGATGTCACCTCGGCTGGTGATGAAACGTTTGCAAACAAATTGCCAAGCTCGACGAACAGGCGAAATGGAATTCAGTTCACCCGAGCTACGAGAACCGATTTTCAATATTTTGTCAACATTGATTCTTCAATTGACTGGCTCTGAAAGAGCTGTCTATCTAAAAGTCACAAGGTTATTGTGACCAAAATACTTTTCCTGGTTACAAGTATATATGGATAAAATGGCAGAAGATTATCGGATACGCATGCCTGACAAGCGGCAAGAACCGGCCGTGT